GGTTGGTTGGCAGGGAGTGGCCACCGGGACCATAGAACGCCAGTCCTAAAGGATCTACACTGGCTCCCAGTATGTTTCCGAGCACAATTCAAAGTGTTGGTGCTGACATTTAAAGCTTTAAATGACCTCAGCCCTGTATACCTGAAGGAGCGTCTCCACCCCCATTGTCCAGCCTGGACTCTGAGCTGCAGCTCAGAGGGCCTTCTGGCGGTTCCCTCACTGTGAAAAGTGGGGAAACAGGATGCTCTCCCATCAGATGTCAAGGAGATAAAGAACTACACAACTTTTAGAAGACATCTGAAGGCATCCCTATATAGGGAAGTTTCTAATGTTTGACATTTTATTATGTTTTCAGATGTGTTGGAAGCCACCCAGGGTGGCAACCCAGCCAGATGGACAAAGCATAAATAATCAAATTGTTGTTGTTGTTGTTGCTGCTGCATTTATTTATTTATTTATTTATTTATTTATTTATGGAAGGAGCTGGACTCATTTTAGTCCATGTTTCATTTGTTTGCAGGGAGTACATACAGGTTTTTTGCTTGGCATTTGGGAGGGCCTGACCGATTTTTCTTTTGTAAAAAATATGTATTTTGTGATGCCCATAATAGTTCCTTTAGACCTCCAGAGTTGCAGGTTGGAGACCCTGGTCTATTTTTTAACAACAACAAATTATTATTATTATTATTATTATTATTATTATTATTATTATTATTATTATTAATTTTTATACCACCCTTCATCCGAAGATCTCAGGAAGTTTTACATCATAAAAATACAAGATTAAAACACAAAAGGCATCTAATTAGTAGGTTGAATCCAGAGAAATGTGCACAAAATGACAGCAACAGAAGTTGACTTTCCTGCCTCCTTCTCTCCCTGGCAGCCCCAGCAGCCCATGGAAAAGGCTCCCCTCAGGTTTGGAGGACTCTCCTGAGTGGGGTGGGCTGTGAGGGAAAGGGGGCTCCCCCAAAATCAGGTGAGCAACCTTTCCCTTACTGACTTAGCCTTTTTGTGCATTAAACATACCATACATTGTCTCAGGATGTTCAAATTGCTGTACCACATTGCAATAGCTCAGGCTGAGAAAAGTAACTCTAATGGCAAAATGATGAAATAATTCCTTGTATATAAAATTATGCCTTGAATATACAATTAATAACATTTTCCATAATGCTTGGGCAATCAGATGCTCTGTTAAATAAGAATGCTGGATACATTTATGTGTAGTTACAAAGGAAATAGACAGTGATTATGGGTAATCAAAATCTGAATTACCATACTTTACATAATGAGACTATGTATTAAATAAGTATGGGCATCTGAAGCAGATACAGAACTACCACAGAATTCATAAAACTACATTAGGTACATAATAATTTGAAATGCTTTTAGTGTTACCTTGCCTGAATATGTGTTTCTCTTTGACATGTAATACTGTATAGGCGCTCTCTCTCTCTCTCTCTCTGTGTGTGTGTGTGTGTCTTCATTAATATCTGAGTTTTAAAAGTCAGTACATGTTGTGAACTTTTTTTGGAATCTAAAGTCACAGTTCTGTAAGTGGACTCTGTCATTCACAAATCCCCTTTCAGCAAGAGGGAGAAAAAGCAAAACAAACAATTTCTTGTAAGAATCAGTATGGAATCTCAACCTTCTTCAAAGCACTCTAAAATAAATTTTGAGTGGACAAGCACCTGCCCATTAAGCAAAACATTGACTCTGTTTCAAACTTTCATAATCCAGCATTGCATCTTAAAATAACTTGAGAAAATGCGTAAAGAAAACATGTTTCCCCCTCTGGGAGGCAGTGAGCACTGAGAGGCAGGAACTCATCATCCCAGTCCTTTTTATACAGAACACAAAGGGCAAAAGAAAATGGGATGAAGCTACCAGGAATGTATTTCCTTTCAGTCAAGTGATATTTAAGAGGCATAAAGTTAGTGTATGAGACTGCACAGGAGCCTTTTAAAAATGTTCTGGGGGTCATTCCATTAATTTGAACATGTGGCCTTTTTGTTCCTGCAAGCACTTCAATGTAAACCATGAGATTTCCCGAAAGAAATTTGCCATGCAGAGACTGAGTATGTGTTTCTACATCAGCCAAAATAGATGGTTTATTGGTCTCTTGGGCTGTCTTATTCTTCCTGAAGAGTAAATCTGTGAAGCTCAAAACTACATCTGTGCCCATCAACATAAAGAAAAAGTATCCGTTTTATTTGCAATCCAAGGCAGCTGTTCTGTACAGAAATACATGCATACGCACACACACCATGGCTGTTGTTGGCAGTGGGAAGTGCAATAATATTTCCCATTTTATCTCAGTAGTCTTTATGACAACCCTTCAAGACAGATCAGAATTATCCCCATTCTGCAGATGGAAACAAAGGCTGTGTGACTTCCCAGCTTCCATTTAGGTTGTTTCCAGAATAAAGCTTCTTCATGTTATGGAAGCAAACAGTGGTACCTCGGTTTATGAACTTAATCTGTTTCAGAAGTCCATTCTTAAACTAAAACCGTTCTTAAACCGATGTGTGCTTTCCCTAATGAGACCTCCCACTGCCAGTGCCTTTCCATCGTTTGGATTCCATTCTTAGACCGAGGTAAAGTTCGCAAACCAGGACACTACTTCTGGTTTTGTGGAGTTCATAAACCAAATTGTTCGTAAACAGGACTGCTTTTAAACCGAGGTACCACTATATATGTATAATGGACGTGAACAATGATGAGGGATGGTGAAAGACCCTTGTTGCCAAACACTGGGACTAATTTCACTCTCATAACACAGCTAGCTCCAAATGGCCTGGGATGGGGTTATCTGAAGAATGACCTTTTGCAGCATGGCCTTGACTGGCAGTCGGTTCCCCATGTAGCCCCATCATCAGAGATTAGGTTCTTAACCTGTGGGTCCCCAGATATTGTTGGACTACAAATCCCATCATCCCTAGCTAGCAAAGCCAGAGCTCAGAGATTATGGGAGTTGTAGTCCAACAACATCTGAGGACCCACAGGCTGAGAATCGCTGGATTAGGGAGAGGAAGGGCCTTCTCAGAGGTGGCATCCAAAATATGGCCCTCCATCCCTAAGTGCAAGGGTGCTATAGATTTGACACCTCCATTGCTATATTTTCGGTGATGTGCAGGATCCATCCTGTTCTCTTGGGCTTTTCTACAGTGTTTCCTTTTCATTTTTTCAGGATGTGTGCTGGGCCCTTTTGCTTCTATTTCTTTGTATTGCTCTTGCTCATCTGATATTCATTGCTTTTAAGTTGCTTCTTGCTGTATTATTCTTGCTGCCTTTATTGTAAAATAAACATAAAATGGTTTGATTGATGTTGATTGTTAGTCACCTTGAAATCCATGTCCAACAGTGAGAGATAAATATTAGAACCAATAGGCAAATAAAGATAAGTGCATTTCAGACAGCACAGGTGTATTGAAGAAACGTATAGAAACTACTTTCTATAGTCCCAGAGTTTCAGAAGCTGAAAATCTCTGTTAGATCTTGTATTCATGGTGAATGTAAGCTGACCTGTTCCTTTGGCTCAAGGTGAGCTAGCCTGGCATTCTTTTTCTTCACTTCTCCCTCTTGTTTTCCCTCCATTCAGCCTTAAGAATGAAGGAGGATTTATACACCTTGACCCAGACACTGATATCTGGAAGCCAAGGGTGCCAAGATGGATGATAATATGATTTATATCTTATTGGTGCTATTATAAGACCTTGAATTTAGTAGAATTTTATGGTGCAGTTTGATGAAACATTACTCCTCTGCCATGCTACTATTCTTGCCACATAATAGCGGAAGCAATAGATGCTTTATTATTTTCTTCCTGTAATTATCAAGGTGAACTTAGCCTTAAATCAATTGCACATTAAAGACCAGCTTTTCTGTACCTACTATTTATATAGGTGGTGATTGTTCCCCCCCCTTCTCCTTACTTGGTTTTATTTTCTCTTCTTTTGCCTAGCACAGCTGGTATTTGGAAATCACTTGTGATGTAAACAAAACAACTATCCTGTCTAAATCAACATATAGGAGAAAATAAACCTAGTTCTATTTATTATTTAAGTTTCACATAAATGTATACTTGCATAAGTGTAGAAAACTATTTTTTGTCCTATCTCCCCCCAAAATTGCAGTAGATTTCAGGTATTTTCCACTGGAGTATCACTGGTATAAAAAGGGGAGTGGGTCACTTTGATTTGATTCTTTCTCAGTTGGGATGGGGAGTTACCCAAAGGCTGGCCATGGATCAGAAAGAGGACATCATTCTAAAATCCTGGGAATCCCCAAAGTCAGGCCCTACATGGTGGCCTCAGGAGGTGGAATGCTACTTGTGCCTTTGCATTCACAGAACAGATTTCATTCCAGTGAACATGCCCACTGATAGCTGTGTTCTACTTCTACTGTTGGAGTGATATGCCTCTAAAATACAAGCTGCTGGAAATTGCAGGTGGGGAGACTGCTGCTGCCCTCCAGGTCTGTTTGTGGGCTTCCCATGGACATTTGGTTGGCCAGCGTGTGAGCAAGATGCTGGAATAGATGTGACTTTGGCATGATCCAGTGGGCTCTTCTTAGGTTCTTAAGAGGAAGGGAAAGTTTTTTCTGATTTCCCTGCTCCTTGCAGGTCCCACTTTTTGTCTTCTTCTATCAGCAGATGTGGTCACTGGATCAAAACCATCATGTGAGCACAGTGACATCACTTGGATTCCACCCAGGGTTAACATAGCTCATTTAATTTATGTCAAGGCCTAGAGTCTTTGCAGAGTTCCCCAACCCACATGCTGGATTTTCTGTGGCCCTCCTGAATTTAAAAGAAAACCAACTCCTAGAATTTCAAGGGATGAGGTTATACCAAGATTTTTTTAGTGGCTAATATGGCCCATTCCTAATCATTATATCATCTATACATATGGTGTAATTTTGTATAGCATCCAGTCTTTGCAGACACTATGATATGGATGATTGTAATGAAATATATTTTTGTTATGTTTCTTTAGATTATAGATGAAGAAGAGACACAGTTCATGAGTAATTGTCCTGTGGCTGTTACTGAGAGTACACCGAGGAGAAGGACCCGCATTCAGGTCTTTTGGACGGCGCCTCCTTTGGGCACGGGCTGTGTGATTTTGAAGTAAGTCTGTTTATGGTTCAAACATTTTGTTGAAACCTTGCTGAATATAGCGTACTTTATTAAGTTGTGGTGCTTTTTCATGTCTCATGCATATGAGTCAACAGCATGGCGGTGTGTGCAAATGTGTGTGTATGTGTATAACATCAGATTTGTCTTTTATTTCTTAAATTATGTATTTTGGGTCATTGCCACTCAAGGTAGCTGGCACACACTGAAAACACAATACAGATTCAAATGACCAAGATTTTTAAACCCGCTGAAGAGTTTGCAGCATGGATGAAATTGCTTGTTCTTAGTGCAACCACAGGAAAGATCTTGGCAGCATGTATTCCAGTTGTTACCAAATGGCTGGGGCTAAATAACAGAAGCCTCTCTGAGCCCTAGTCAGTTATTGGGCAGAATTGCAGCATGGGGTACCTACTATCAGCTCTCTTGTCTCTGTCATGCACTCCCATAACATAACTAGGCTAAATCACAGGGATCAGCACCATCAGCCCCAAACATATCACTTAGTTGAACTAAGTGAGTTGGAGACATAACATATTGGACTTTCCTGTCTACTCTTCACACCATTGGTAGTTGTTCTCAGGAACAGAGAGACTCACTTCATGATGGCCCTGACTCATGCAAGGGGTTCTAGGTATGAGAAAATTACCACAGGAAGGCCAATCACTACGGTTGAGGGCATAGTTGAACCAGCCTGCTTGCCAGACAGCAGTATGGGAGACTTCCCTTGCAAGACTCTCATGGTACCGGTCATGTTTAGGAAAGTCTCTTCCCTTTACTTCCCTTGGCAACTGGATGGCATGATCAGAGACCAGACTACCAATTGTGAGCAGATCTCCAATGATGGACAAGAGGTGGTTCACAAAGCATTTACAGATCTTGAAAAAAAGATAGGTAGGGACGGGGGAATGGACAACCACAGATAATATCAGCTATTTATTGTGTAATTAGTTACTTTACATATTGTAAGCTATAGCTCTTCCTTGGGAGCAGAATAAAATTTAGGAAGGGGGAGACAGTCCCAAAACTGACATTGCATTCCCTATTCCAGGCAGAGGGATGTTTTCTCACTAATAATAGTCAACACTGGTGGCATTCACCCACATAACATCTCAGGTGGATGCCATCCATGATCAGTGATTTATCAGAGTTAATGTTGTTCTTGCCTTGGTGGATGATGGTTAAGGAGGCAAGAACTTCACCACAACCCCATGTTCATATGACACACTAAACCAAACCTTGGCTTAGTTGTCATGGAGCCCTGATCTAAAAGCACTGGGTTGGTGGGGGGAGCAAAGTGAGTGTAAGCTGCTTTCTGGGAACCAGCACACTCGTGTGGTCTTGGTAAGCTATAGTTTGGGTTACCATAACATGAAAATCAGACCAGTGTCTCTGGCTCCTCCTCCCTATCCTCTGCAATTTTCAATGGTTATGTGAAAGGCCCTAAAACTGTTCAACTGATTTGCAGTGAGGCTTCCACAAAGTGTCATTTTAAAGGCAATGGCCTGGAGGCAATATATCGTTTCCTTTATTTTATTTATTATTTATATCCTGCCCTTCACCACTTTGATAATCCCAGGGTGGGTAACAACAATTTTAAAAGCTATTAACAAAATTAAAACACTCTGCAATAAAAGCCCAATATAAAACAGCAGCCAACAGCTCTGATCAAAGCCTTATACCATCAAAATGCAGCAGTAAATTTAAAAACCTCCACCAACAAATAACAGCAGCATCATGTGCTTATAGAAAGCTGCATGTGCTTTATATTCTGGACATAGACATGGGTTATCAATTGCTCTTAAGGGAGAAGACAGAAGGGTCACAGTCTGTAATACCACTGGTGTTTGTAGGGAGAGACTTAGTTTAGTCTCTGTGATGTTGGTCACTAATGCCTGAGGCAGTGCCTCTTTGTTTTCACAGTCCTCTGTATTTCCACCCTACATTTTTGGATATCCACAGGCAGCCCACAGAATGACTGACATAGCCTGCTTTTCCAATCAATTTCCACACATGTAAAATGGATGAGCATTGCATTGTCTTGAAAAGCCAGTGCTTGCATGCCAACATTTCAGCTGCACAAGATCGCTGGCTGCATCACTTTTAACATCTTCAGCACTAATTGCGCATTATTTTTTCCTGGTGTGATGATCAGAATATATATATATGTTGGTGGTTAGATGTGCAAATAATAACAAGCTGGGAGAAGTGCATTCACCGCAGAAATGGAAACCCTTTTTACGTACATAGTGCAAGGGCTTCTCCAGACTTCCTACAGAGTGGGGAAAATTCATAGAATCATAGAATTGTAGAGTTGGGGAAGTGCCTCATTGCCCTGGACTTTGGCTGATATTTTTATGTTTAATTTTGAAGGCTGTTTTGCAGATTCTTCTGGTATGCTAATATTTTGCTTTATGATTTGGTTGAGTTGTGAAATGATTTCTGTTTTAGAACTTCTTTTTAAAAAATAGTTAGCCACTTTGAATTTCTTTCAAATAAATAAATTGCACGCGAAACCACTTTCTCTTAAGAAATCTCAAATTTCTTTCTTCTTCTTTTTTCTTCCCTCAAAATTCCCCAGGCCCAGTTTAGACTTGCTGCAAAACAATCAAAAAGGCATTATGCATCTGCTGTTACATATGCGTAGCTTCCCTTTTAAACTAGGTCCACTGTGCAATGTTAGCGCACACCAGCACAAACATCCACTCTGGCTATGGATCCCTGTTGTTCTAGCCTATGAAACAACCCAGTTTCAGCTAGATATGCTGGGTGCATAGAACACAGCACAAATAGTAGCTCAATAGTCTTTGGCATCTCCAGGTGGGCTGGGAAAGACCCTTGCCTGAAATCCTGGAGTTGACAGTCCTGAAATAGATGGACTGATGCTCTGACTTGGTGTAAGGCACTTACTTAAATTCCTCATATTGTTCTTGCAGAAGCCTAGTGGCACATTAAAATTGGCCAGTCAGCTGAAGAAAAGTCTGCAGATTTGCTTTGAAATTCAATTCACGCTAATTGTTGATATTTATTTCTCATCAGTTGTCTACAGAGTTCCACAAAAGCTAGGATCACAATACTGGGAGGAGTTTCTTACGGTGGTGCAGGTTGGCAACGTCGTAATCTTTCGACATCCTGTGTAAAACAAATGTGAAGAAACTGCCCCATAAAATTTAAAAATTTGAGTCAAAAGAGAACTGGATGAGTTTTTTTGAGTATAAGTCAAAAGACTGAAGCCTGTCGAACGGAAGCAGCTTCCTTCATTGTGACTTGTTAGTGAGAATGATTAGCAGTATAATACAGTGCTAAACTGTTGTGCGGGGGCAGCGCAGTACATAGCAATTATCATTTTTGCTTTTGGCACAAACTTAACACCATGTACATTTTTCCCCCTACCAGGATGTAAAGCTTTGTGCACATCTAAATTATAGAGTTTACAGAAAGCCCTCCCCTCCCCCTTCCACTCTCCTGTCGCCTCCGCCCACCCACATAAATGCATACAAATGTTGGACACCATTTTCTCAGCTATTGTCACATCTGTGAAAGCTACAATGCTACCATGAAAAACCCGAAGCGCTCAAAACGCCCCACCCACAATCCTGCTATGAAAGCAGTTGTTTCTGAAAGGCGTAGGGTGGAATTCTGCTACCTTAAGCACTCAACAAGCATTGGCACTATTAGCCGTTTTTATTTCGGAGGCCTTGCATATCTCAGAAAGTACATGACCATTCAGGGTGTATGTCCTGTTCAAAGGACACATTGCTGTTGGGAATGTGTTCATTCTCCATCTCCTTTTTGGGAGACAGTCCTCCTTACAGGTAGGGAAGCTGAAAGCAATGATAGGCCAGAAAAAGGTAAGAACGTAGAAATCTGCCTTATGCCAAGTCACAATATTCATCTATTGAGCTCAGCAAAGACATCACCTTGCTGACAAGGTCCATATAGTTGAAGCTATGGTTTTCCCAGTAGTGACGTATGGAAGTGAGAGTTGGACCATAAAGAAGGCTGATCGCCAAAGAACTGATGCTTTTGAATTATGGTGCTGGAGGAGACTCTTGAAAGTCCCATGGACTGCAAGAAGACCCAACCTATCCATTCTTAAGGAAATCAGCCCTGAGTGCTCACTGGAAGGACAGATTCTAAAGCTGAGGCTCCAATACTTTGGCCACCTCATGAGAAGAGAAGCCTCCCTGGAAAAGACCCCGATGCTGGGAAAGATGGAGGGCACAAGGAGAAGGGGACGATAGAGGACGAGATGGTTGGATACTGTTCTTGAAGCTACAAACATGAGTCTGACCAAACTGCGGGAGGCAGTGGAAGACAGGAGTGCCTGGTGTGCTCTGGTCCATGGGGTCATGAAGAGTCGGACATGACTAAACAACAACCTTCTATACTGATGAGTAGCACCTGTCCAAGGCTTCAGACAGGCATGTTTCCCAGCCCTGCCTGCAGATGCTAGGAACTGAACCTGGGATCTTCTGCATGCAAAGGAGATGTTGTACCCTCAGCTATGGAAACAACTCACATCACCCCTGAGTGCTCCTATCCCCAGTGAAATTCTTCTACTGAAACTTAGAAGTTATTTGAAAACTGAATGTTAGCTTCAGGCTGATAGAAAGGCAAGATTATGCGAGCATTACAATAAGCCAAATTTGCAGAATGGTTGGAAACTTTGCAACTGTTCACTTTCCTTCTCCTATTTGTATCTGTTGAGTCCTGACCTGACTGTCCATGAAATATGTGACTTGGGTTGCATTTGTTGTTTGGCTAGCAGCAACACTGTCAAATAACTTCATCACAATATGATTTTTGTGTGTGGACGGGGGGAGCTTCTTGTGGTAGAAACTGTGTTCAAGCAGAACTGGCAAGGGAAATGTTTTATTCTTTTTAAGACAAAGCGTGGAATTTGTTATTTTTAAGCATAAATCATTCCCCTTATGGTTTATTCATATGGTTCTTTTTCGATGTGAGCAGCCACTAGAGGGTTTGAGCAACTT